ARWCTCGTTCGTACTTCTGGAAGTATTTCCATTAAGCTGACAATATTATTACATAGTGCAAACTCTTGTCGAATTCTGTGCGTATAATTGAACTGAGAGCCAATCAATTCAGCCGTACTGTTCCATTACTCAGACCCATTTATAAAAGGAAGGACGTTATCTATTTTTCAGCAATATTTAGTGGTAAACTAATTGACTGCAAGGGTTATCTTATTTCTTACTTAATCTTCATGGCTTGCTACGCCAGTTTTTTATTCCTGTGTGGCTTGCTACGCCATTCTTTTTATTAAGGTATTGAATATTTTTTTTTCGATTGAATTCTTTCTCCGCATATAACCATATATTTTTTTTCGATTGTATTCTTTCTCCGCATAGAACCCATGGTAAAGAACAATTGGGTACCTTGGAAAGAAGAAGTGCACCACAATTGACGCTTTCTGTTCTTGATCAACGTCCTCTCATGAACTTAGTATTATAATTGACAATAGCCCTACTGGGACGCTCGGCGTGATTGTTTTTGGTCTCAAACCTTGAACTGGTTGTGTATCTGTCAGGGCTTATATTTAAGCGTTAGTGAAATCTTTGACCGTTTTGTGACGTCAGTGAAGAAGATTTTTAGAACTATGGTCAGAAATCACGATAAAAATGCTAACAAAAAGCACGGAGTGATGAAATCGGGCTTTCGTACGAACGATGTTTCGTACGGTACTGGTACCAAATTTTTGCAACCGATATCTCAAAACGGTGGAGGGTTTTACGTAGGCTATCACGTCACTTAGTCCCACTCCATTTACCACCGTACTTACATGTCCTACATGATTTGTGGTAGGGATTGTACACAGCAACCGTACTAGCTTTTCTCTTGTGGTCACATCCGTACCTCTTTGGGTTGCTTAAGACAGACCAAATTACACTGACTATGCAACACTTTTGCAACTCCCTCCCCCCGGTGCCTCACGAGAGGTGCATTTTTTTGCTCACAAAATAACAATGCTCACATACAACTTGTATGTTCTGCTTGTTGAGTTAATGGATCACCATGTACATGGAAGAGTGGATGGAGGAGGAGACAACGGCGATGATTGGTTTCCGAATGATACTATATTCACACCAGAGCAGCTGAGTCATCTAACGCCAGATCATATTTACAAGTTCTTTGCAAAGAAAGCTTTTGGTCGCGAGGATCCAGGTGTGGATGATAATCCTACTCATGGTAAATCCACTTCTTTAATCTACTACAAGAAGGCCATATCATACTTCATGCCAAACAAGATGCACAAATGGACTGTTATTGGCGGTGTTGGCAGTGGAAATCCTACTAAGTCCCAGCAAGTTAAWGATYTKATYKCAGCTGTTATCAAGAAGGAAACTAGAGGACTTGGACAAGAAGCGAGCAGCATGGATAGGCCTCTTACAAAGGATGAGTTTTTGCAAACACTAGAACTGATGGCAAATCCTGGTTCCATTACCAATTGACTGAGGTTCCTTGAAATGGTTAAGTTCCAGTTCCACTTGATAGGTCGTAATGATGATATGGCGCATGTTGGGAAAGACAGCTTGGAAAGATCAGCTGAATTTCCCCAGTTCCTTACAGCAAAGTTAAGATGGTCTAAGAATGTAAGGGAGGAACGTGATTGCCCAAGGCAAATACTGCTTGGATCAATGGATCATAGGACCTGTGTGGTGCTAACACTTGCTTTATTTCTTGAAAAGTGGTGCAAAGATGGTGATGGTGCAACAGGCCAATGGCTGTTCACTCAAGGAGTTACAGACAGGAGATCTCATGCAAGGGACATTGAGAAAGAGATTAGCAAAGGAAAGGCTGCTTATGCTTGGTTCATCAAGCGCTATGTGTTTGATAATGAAGCCTTTGTTCCTGAAAGACCAGATGCAGAAGGGAAGCTCGGCACTCATTCCTTTAAGAAGTTTGCGACGACTTTTGCAAGACAGTCTGGGGGATGCAGGGACAATGTTGATTATAGGGCACTTTGGAAGTCTAGAAGACAACAGGATCAATATACTGATACACAGCTTGCTTGGCCTGATATTGATATTGCATTGAAGCTCTGTTTTGGAGGGATCTGTCTGTACAAGCCTGAAAGGACAGGAATCATGGATGAGTGGCTTGCTTCTTCAGTTCTTGCTCCTAATATTGCTAATGTATTTGGAAATCAAGTGGCTGCAATCCTTGGCAAAGTGTTGCTTTGGGTTTGCTGTGATCCGGCAATGCAAGCATCTGGCTTGATTCCTGAGGATGTGAAGCAGGATGTTGTTGGTTCTTGGGTTCAACTCAATTACAGTCTTCCAGTTGCTGAGAGGTTGGATCCTGATGTGAATCCTATCAAGAAAGTTGAGCTGATTGTTAATGAGTTCAGTGGGAAAGTTTACTTTGATGAGGTTGTTGATCCGGATGATCTGCTTGATCAAGGCGCCGGCGGAGCTGCTGGAGGGACTGCCGTTGGGATTTGTAGGACTCAGTTCAGTGGAATCATGCCATGTTTTCCAAGCTGTTTGCTACAGCCAATGAAGTGAATGATATCAAGAATCGACAGATTGCAAGTGAAGCAAAGTTCAACCAGAAGCTCAATAAAGCCATCGAGTTGTCCCAGAGTTGTCCCAAAGAGCTGCAATGGCACTAGTTGTAAGAAGGAGGCCCCGGGCCCCTCCTTGTGCATTGAACAGTGGCGCATCAGAGACTGGCAACGCTGAGCTGACTAAGTGTCCTCACGACCTTTATGTTCTTTGGAATGAGTGGGTAGTCGGTGTTGGTCTCAATAAGCCTGCACAGGAGTTCACTGCTGCTGAGCACGGCAGAGTGAAGAGCAAGTATTGCAGGAGGCTGAAGTTCTGGAAGTGCATGGAAAGACTCATCAGGGCTGGTTGTTCTTCTGAAGTGGCTGTAAGAAGAATTTATGCAGTGTACATCCTTAAAGCTATGGGTCTCCATGAAGCCAATGGGGGTCACCACATGCTGCGCGGACCGGCTGTTGCTCCTCCTGCTGCTTCATAATCCTCGTCAGCAACGTCAACGCTTCTTTGTTCTTTGTTGCATGTCTTGTTCTTTCATCCTTACTACTTGTCCCCCCTTATATAAAAAAAGCATAAAAATATAGTGTACTGTGCATATGTGAACTGTATTTTGCTGTATTTTGCTATCCTCAACAAGAGGACCATCTTAGTAGCTGACAGGGAAGAAGCGTCCATGTTGTTGTTGTTATCAACATGATTGTAGAGAATTACTCTCATGACTTGTTTTTTTTTCTATAGAATTTGCCTTGTTCGTGATCGTGTGAGTACTTCTCATCAAACATGCTGATACTCCAGCACTCCGCGCACTGGCTTGGTGCACCCTGTCTCATCTACATAGATTATGTACTGTGTTCTACATGGTTGCAACATTAGTTGATATTTTCTTAGATACCTGCCTGGTACGAACACGAGCATCGATGCTTCACGTCACACGTACAGTACCTGGTACGGTACAGTTGGATCTTATGATTCATACGAGTTGATGTACTGGAACAAATGAAGCACCAATGATGGTTCAAACCATGGTCGGAAATCACCATAAAAATGCTAACAAA